ACACTGACTCAATGGACATGAGTTTGAGCAAACTCCAAGAGATGAAGTACTGGGAAGCCTGGTGTGCTACAGTCCATGGGGTCGAAAACAGTTGGACATGACTGAGTGACTGAACAACAATTACTTTTAGGTGAGGATCCAAGTGACCAAGTTAACAGTCAGATGTCACATTGGGAAACAAATTTTCAGAAATGTCAAAAGAAAATGGTTTACTATGTGGCTTCCTATGTGGCTTCTCTTGTTAGTGGCTTTTGAATAAGCCACTTGAAAAAAAAAAAAGGCATATTACAATACATATTACACAATTCCAAGAGCCAGAAAGCATCCTGTGAAGTTATGTCCCTGTCACCTTTGTCCTAAAGGCCATTACTAATACAAATTTTGTGTGTATCCTTCCAGAGATATTCCATGCATATGCAAACATTTTGTGGTAGCCTACCATACCATTACAGCTTGCTTTTATTTAAAAAAATATATCTTGGAAGTTGTTGTGTATCAGTACACCTAGAGTTGAATCACTGTTTCTTTTTTTAAAAAGCTGCAAATGATTCCAACGTATGGATTTACTAGAATTTATTTCATTAGTCCCTTACTGATATGTTCAGGTTGTTTCCATTATTTTCTTTATCTGTACAAACAATGCTGTAATAAGTATCCTTGTATACTTGTGATTTTGCAAATGTGCAAGTATATCTGTAGGAAAAAATATCCCTACAAGTAGGACTTCTGGCTCAAAAGTAAGTGCACCTTAAATTTTGAAAACTTTGCAGCAATTGTACTCCCTTAAACCATGATGGAGAGTTTGTTTCCCTACACCCTCAACTACATAGTGGTATCAAACTTTTGATCTTTGTCAGTATTATAGGTGAAAGATGGTTTCTGATGTAATTCTGATTTGTCTTTATTGCAAGTAGAGTGGAACATTTTTGCATGTGCTAAAGAGCAATATTCCTTCCTCTATGCATATTTCCTCTTCTATGAATTACCATTAATTATGCTTTTTCTTTCATTTCATTTATTTACTTTTAAACTTTCATTCAAGTTATAAAAATAATGTTTGCTATTTAAAGATTCTCTTGATAGGTAAGAAAAAATCTAGCTACATGGTATTTATAAGAGATACTTCTAAATCAAAATAATCTAGAATGATTGAAAAATAGGAGAAACTAATAAAAGATATATCAAACAAATGCATAAAAATAAAGTAGGAGTAACAATATTAAAGTCAAACAAACTAAATCCAAAGCAATTTAATATTTCAAATTTATAAAAGATGCTATCCATCAAGAATATACAATAGTCATGAGTTTTTATGAAACTAAAAATGGATTTTCAAAATATAAAACAAAAGCTGTTGGAAATACAAGAAAAATAGATATTCACAAATTCATAAAATTTGGGGAATACCTGAATGGGCTTCTCTCAGAAATTAACATAAGTAAGGCTACAGAAGACTTAAATAACAAAATTAATAAGTTAATAAACAGAAAATACATATTTTTCAAACATGCATGTGAAACATTCAGAAAAATAAAGTGCTAGACCATTAAAGACACTTTAATAATTCTAAAAAACAGATCATATACACTCTGACCACAAAGTGATAATATTATAAATTAATAATAAATGAATGGTCCTTTTAAAAACAAAAAGGAAAAATACAACCATTTACAAGTAAATAAAAAGAACCTTCTGTATGATTGTTAGATTAAAAAGAAAACCAAAGTGGAAACTACAAACTATTGGGAAGTGAAAGACAGTGAAAGAAATTGCATATTGATCTCGTTGGATACGGCCAAAATAGTATTGTGAAAATATGGGGACTTTGCTGGTTGTCCAGTGGCTAAGAGTCTGCGTTCCCAATGCAGTGGGCTCGGGTTTGATTCTTGGTTGAGGAAATAGATCCCACAGGCTACAACCAAGCACAGCCAAATAAATAAAATATAATAAAAAAAAGAAAATATGCAGCATTAAGTCCATTTATTAGGAAACAAAATTGTATTAAACAATGATTTTTTTAAAAAGGTTAAAAATATAATGGGATTCCCTGGTAGCTCAAACAGTAGAGTCTGCCTGCAGTGTGGGAGACCTGGGTTCGATTCTTGGATTGGGAAGATCCCTGGAGAAGGAAATGGCAACCCACTCCAGTATTCTTACCTGGAAAATCCCACGGACAAAGAAGCCTGGCAGGCTATCATCCATGGGGTTGGCAAAGAGTTGAACATGACTGAGTGACTTCACAACAACAGAAATAAAATATATCAAGAAAATGAACCCAGAAGGCAGAAAATGAATAAAGATAAAAGCATAAATTGGATTTCCACTTCTGTTAATACTGGACTCAACTCTCTTTCAAAGGATTACTTGAAAAGCTGAATCAAATATGACCAGCATTCTCTTAAAGGCATCAGCATCAGAGAACAAACAAAGCAATAAAGGGTTATCAGATAAGAAGCAGAAGAAGACAGAANTGAACCCAGAAGGCAGAAAATGAATAAAGATAAAAGCATAAATTGGATTTCCACTTCTGTTAATACTGGACTCAACTCTCTTTCAAAGGATTACTTGAAAAGCTGAATCAAATATGACCAGCATTCTCTTAAAGGCATCAGCATCAGAGAACAAACAAAGCAATAAAGGGTTATCAGATAAGAAGCAGGAGAAGACAGAACTCCCAAGGTAAGTTAGGTATTAGATACCACTGTCTTCCTAGTGCATGCTGCTCAGAAGCTCAGGCATGTCCAACTCTTTGCGACCCCATGGACTGTAGCTCACCAAGTTCCTCTTTCTATGGGATTATTCAGGCAAAAATACTGGAGTGGATTGCCATGCACCCTCCAGGAGGTCTTCCTGACCCAGGGACGGAACGCACATCTCCTGCTTGAATTCAAGTCTCCGGCATTGGCAGGCAGATTCTTTACCACTGAGCAACTAGTGAAGCCCGTTCCTCGAAGTAGTATTTCCCATTTTCAGAAAAAGAAGCTGAGAAGCTGAGTGGTTTAGATTCATGGGGCTATGTGAAGTATAACTGAAGTCCATAATCTCTTATGCCCAAACTTTGAGTTGGAACCCAAAAGGATTAAGGACTGGAAATACACTAGCCTTCTAAAGGACGGCAGTACAGCTTCAAAGCATCTCATTCCTTGAAACTGGAATTCTGGTGATTCTGGATTGTGGGTGCCTTTAGGCAACTGTCAACAAACAAAAGTAAATCTTCTCCGAGGAAAATGAAATCATCCTAAACTTCAAATTCATTCCACCAGAAACTTAAAGAATACATTTTCTGAATGAACACACAATCAAAAGAAACCAGGCCCAGGAAGAAACCCGACAATATGCACAAAACCACCAGAAATAATGAACAACAGAAATTATTCCACATAGCTTCCATATATTGGAGTTATTGGTCATAATCCTTAGAACTTTTGTAACTATGCTTAACAAAAGTAAAGGGGATAAGAAAAAATAAAATTAAGAATTTGGCACAAAATTAGAAATATTTTAAAAATAGATTTAAGAAAACGAATCAAAATTGAAAACTGAAAAATAAATAATAGAAATTTAAAATTCAATGGATAGATTTAACATAGACACAGCTGAAAAGAGAATTAATGAGCTAGAAGAGAGGAAAGGATAGAACAGTACAAAAGAGAGGGTAAGATACAGGAAGGATACATTTAGAAAGTTTAACGTATAATTTGAAGTCCTAGAAGGAGAGGAGAAAAGTAAATGGGGTAGAAGGAAATTTTGAGTCTGAAAACTTCCAGAACTAATGAAAGATATTCAGTCACAGAATCAAGAAACTCTATGACTCCCTAAGGGGATAAATAAAAAGAAACCCACAACTAGCTACATGAGCTTTCAGTCTAATTGTTGCCCCCTTGATCTTAACAGGCCTTTACTGCCTCCGCCTGCCTATAAATAACCAGTTCTTCAAATGCTCTTAGAACAAACTATTGTCCTGCTGGTTCCACCTCTAATGGGTTGAACAAACTTTGACCCCTTGTTTATCTTATATGTGTATGAGTCATGTTTTTAACTTTTTGAAACTTGTACTTCGAATATACATATATGAAAGAAAGATTTCATGAAATAATACTTTTCCTTCTTGCAATATTTTCTGTTCTATTTTATTCTTTTCCATCTTGTTAAAAGATCATTTTGGTCACATTCACTAAACGTAATCTCAACCTGGTAATCTCAACCTGCGGTTTGAGAAATCCTGCCTCAGCTGAAAAGGGAGTGAGTGGGTGACGGGGAGGGAGAGGGGGTAGAATTGCATTAAAACAACAACAACAACAACAAAAAGTCTAATATTTAAATTAGTTACTTTGGCTTCCTCCCTCCAAAGAATAAGACGACCCTGGATACAGGATCGGGTTTTCTGGAATTTTGTTTTACCTTTGGAGGATTTTTTTTTTTTTCTCTCTTTCCTTGCCCAGCGCTCGGACTCCGGGATTAACCCTGGGGACTATTTGGAAAATGCCAGCGGCCGGCTCCAACGGGCCCCTGGGAAGAGAGGAGGCCAGCGCGGGGGTCAAGCGAAGGCCCGGTCTCCCCGGGTGGGGCCTCGCGGCCTTGGAGGGCTCCAGGGCTGTTCAGAACTTCGCTGCACTCCTCCCGGGAGTTGAGACCAAGCGAACTTCGAGTTCTCCTGGAGAGCTCGCGGAAGTGTGAGGTGGGCAGTCGCGAAAGGGGCGGCCATCGTCAGAGCTCCGTCGGGCTCCCCTAAGTCCCCCGTGCATCTTCTGCCTTGGGGTTGTCTGGCCCCTCCCGAGCCAGGAGGCTTCCAGTTGGAAAGAGTGACTTCTGTGAGTCCCTTAGGTCATATCTGGAGGGACTGAAGACCGCGAGGAAAAGGGAACAGTAAGGGCCCGCCTTAGTCCGGCCCGCCCTGGGCCACCGGTACCCTTGAACCGCCCCTACTGTTCTGTCTCTGGACAAGTTCCAGGCACTCTGGCTCGCGAGCCAAAGGCGCGGCGGCGCGAGCCATGAACCGAATGGGCGCTCTGGGCTCCGCGAGGCTGCGGTGGGCGCTGCTGGGGACGCGGGCGGCACTCCCTGGCCTCGGCTCGTACGGGGCCAGAGCCAAGGCGGCGATCCCCTCCGCTCTCCCTGCGGCCCAGGCGGCTGAGGCTCCCGGAACCGGGCCTGGAGATCGGAGGCTGCGGAGCCTGGACGAGCTTTCAGGGCCAGGGCAGCTGCGCCTCTTATTCCAGCTGTTGGTGCAAGGCTACGTTCTGCATTTGCACCAGCTCCAGGTAACCGAGCGAGGGTGGCGGCGGTGGTGGGGGGGCTCGCGCCGAGGGGATGCGGTGAGCACCGGGACAGAGAGGCTGAGATGAGGAGACAACGAACAAAAAGTGGAGGACACCAGAACGTAGCCCGGGACCGACTGGGGCTGTGGTCATAACCCTGGACGTCTGTAGCCGTTCTGAGTTGAAATGAACGGACAGGTCAAGGAAGGGCGTGAAGCCGGAGGGCACAGGCAGGAGATGAGTCGGGATGCTAGGATTAAAGTGGATAGAGGTTGGGAGAGAAGGGAACTGTCTTGGTAACTGAATGGCAGATGCAAATGTGCAAGCTGCGGGATGTTATAGAACCACTTTTTCTGCGGTGATATCCCTACCAGACTTCTTTCAAAGGAAGTGGTTTCTGGAGGATTGCAGAGGTTTGGCAGTTTGCAGGGTAAATTTGCCCTTAGTGGAAAGAAAGATGTCATTGCTTAAAAGAGTGAAAGCAACATCATAGACATTAATGAAAAGATACATTTTTGTTAAGATATCAATATCCAGTGAGAGGTTTATCCAGTGGAACAGTGTTATGAGGCAGGTATGGATAGCCCACTATCAGTGGACAGAGACTGGAAAACCCGATGTTGGTTAAGTTGGAGAGGCTTTAGGAAGTGAACCGAAGAGATTCACGTGGGATCTGTCTTCCTGATAACTATTAAATATTGACGCACCCACTCTGCCCTGGGAATTTTCCTAAGAACTGAGCTTCAGTATTTATGGCCAATATCCACATGGGGGTTAAATGCTCCTTTTGAAGAAGAGGGGTATTGTTGCTCAATCACCAAGTGGTGTCTGACTCTTTGTGACCCCATGGACTGCAGCATGCCAGGCTTCGCTGTCGTTCACCAGCTCCTGGAGTTTGCTCAAGCTCCTGATGTCCATTGAGTCGGTGATGCCATCCAACCAACTCATCCTCTGTCATCCCCTTCTCTTGCCTTCAATCTTTCCCAGCATCAGGGTCTTTTCCAATGAGGCGGAGTAAACAAATCAGTCATCAACTAATTTCAAAAAGAAGACCTGAGTGCCCTGGGAGAAGAAGCCAGTCTGGGGCTGGGGGAGAAGTGGGACCTTTGATTAGCCTGTGCCATCCAGGCACATGTGAGGTTATCAGTGATTGACAGGAAGCATAGACAGCCCTTGGGCTGGGCTGATGAACTGACTGGTCACCTAGTGGCTGTGCTGGGCAGTGGTTAAAAATGAGGAGGAACTGTGGGGACTTGGGATATGACAGGCCTTTGAGGAGGGCCTTGAAGACCAGACTATGAGCCCTGGGGGTTCCTCTGAAGGGTCATGGTGGGCTCTTGAGCAGGCGTGGGGAGAAGAAAGCTTCCAAGGGACACTGCCCAGTTATGTGCCATGTGATGGATTGGGCAAGAGAAGCAGAGAGAGCCTCCAATAACAATAGAAATGGCAGTATTTGAGCAACCACCTCCCCCCCCCCCCCCCCCCCCCCCAGGAAACTGGACTGAGAGTTAACAATGAGAGAGAAAATGACTGTGAGTGTTTGAAAGTCCAAACTGAACAATTTCTCTGCACCTGGCTGGCCCGCTGCCATCTCCCCTGGGGTCTTCTGTTGGGTTCGTGGTGTTGAGGTATGGTGGGCAGGTCACAACGCACTCAGAGACAGTTAAAAAAATCATTTGCTGTGTGCTCCTCTCCAAGAAACCAAGTAAGCCAAGAAACCAAAGTCCTGAGAGCTTCTCCTGCTTGATTTAACCCTAGAAATGTGAGCAGCCCAGTGGATGCCCCAAGGGTGGGTACCAAGACTTCTTACCATTTCTCAGAGAAAGTTTACTGGGACATTTTCCTCAGGATTATCTCTATAGCAGTAACTACCAAAGAAATTCTCGACTGCCCTAGAAAGTGGAAGAGGAAGCAGGAGAAAGCCAGAAATGCGTGGCCTTTTAAAGGAGAGATCAGGACTCGAATTTTGCAGAGCCTCCTGGCTCCAGCCTTTGTATCTCAAAGATCTGGAGTCACATGAACCTGGGCTGCTCCGTGGGCAATATATTAACCCCTCCACTGTGTGGCTGGTGTGAGTTAGTATAGAGTGGAGGGCTGCACATCTTTAAAAGCCCATTAATAAATACCCTTATTTTGAGGAAGAGGATGCTTCCACTGACTCACTTTGTATCAGTTCAAATCTGTTTGGTTGCCATTCTCACCGGTTTAAACTATAAAGCAGCTATTATTGGTTCTTATTTAAAAAGTCTAATAATTGTTTGCCCACCAGGTATAATTTGCTCCAGGTATTCATGAGACCATCCAACCCACCATTTTGTTCTTATCAAGTTCTCTTGGCTCTGCTGTCTCACAGAACTTAGTTGATTGGCTTGGGTTAATTGCCCATTCCTGAACCCATCATAGTGGCCAAAGGTGCACTATAGCTTAGACTCATGCAGGCTCACTCCTAAAGCTGGGGCTGGGATCCCTGCCACCTAAATAGGTGTCGACTGCATAGGAGGAGGAGTGGAATTGAGATAAGGGTAGCTGACCATAATGTCCCCTGTACCATCAGTCATCCAAAACTGCATATTACACATAAAATTAATAAAATCAGCTTAGGGAAGCATTGTAGGACTTTAAGGGGTCTGACTGGGAATTGAGACATGTGAGAACCATGCAAGTGCATAAATACCAGTTCCTTTCTCTTTTCTAACTAAAATAATGACAAGAGTGCTGCAAAAGTGAAATGTGAACATATCTTAAATTTATATGTAAATTTACAACAAATTGATATCTTTCAAAGGTGTCGACCCTGAGAATGATAAGATCAACTGTCTATTCTGTAGCTCTGATTGTGGATTGTCTGGGTCTGGTGACCCCTCTTGTGTCTCCCTAATGCTTCCTATACATATTTGTCATTTCATGTATCATGTTTCTTTTATATATATATATATACTTAGGAAAAATTTTTTTCCTGTGAGAAGCACCTTGAGGTTTACTCTTTCAGCAACTTTCAAATATACAATATGGTGTTGTCATAGTCACCATTCTGTGTATTACACCCTAGGAGGTAGTCCTGTAATCCCCACTTACTTATTTTATAACTGAAAGTTTGCACTTTTTGACCACCTTTATCCATTTTGCCCTCCTCCCATTCCCACCTCTGGCAACCACCATCGGTCTTCTGTATATTTGAGTTTTGTTTTAGTTTGTTTCAATTTTAGATTCCACATATACATGAGATCCTTCAGTATTTGCTTTTCTCTGTCTGATATTTCATTTAGTATAATTCCCTCAAGTATATCCATGTTGTAAATGGCAAAATTTCCTTGTTTTTAATGGCTGAATAATATTCGTGTGTGTGTGTGTGTGTGTAACATTTTATTTAGTCATTTATCCATTGATCAACACTTAGGTTGCTTCTATGTCTTACCTGTTGTAAATACTGCTGCAGTGAACATTGAGGTAAATAGTGTTTTCCTTTTCTTTGGATAAATACCCAGAAGTAGAACTACTGGGTCATATCATAGTTCTATTTTTAATTTTTTGAGAAACCTCCATACTGTTTTCCATAGTAGCTGCACCAGTTTACATTCTTACCAACAGTGCACAAGAGTTCCCTTTTCTCCGCATCCTTGCCAGTGCTTTTTTTTTTTTTTTTTTTTTTTTGTCTTTGAGCCATTCTGACAGGTACAAGGTGATATCTCATTAAAGTTTTAATTTGCATTTCCCTGATTAGTGACAATGAGCACCTTTTCTTTTACCTGTTGGCCATCTGTATGTCTTTGATGGAAAAATGTCGATTCAGATCCTCTGCCCATATTTTAATTGGATTTTATGTTTGTTTTACTATTGAATTGTTTGAGTTCTTCATATATTTGGATGTTAACTCCTATCAGATATATGATTTGCAAACATTTTATCCCATTTGGTAGGTTGTCTTTTCGTTTTGTTAATGGCCTCCTTTGCTGTGCAGAAGTTATTTGGTTTAATGTAGTCCAACTTGTCTATTTTTGTTTTTATTACCTTTGCTTTTGCTGTCAAATCAAAAAAAAAAAATCATCATCAAGGCTAACATCATGTAGCTTACCACCTATGTTTTCTTCTGGGATATTTATGGTTTCAGATTTTATGTTCAGATCTGAACATAAAATCCATTTTGGGTTAAGTTTTGTGTATAGTGTAAGATAGTAATCTTTTGCATGTGGCTATCCAGTTTTCCCAAAACCACTTATTGAGGAGGCAGTCCTATTATATATTCTTTACTCCCTCATCATAAATTAATTTATGATATATATATGGGTTTTTTTCTAGGCTCTCTATTCTTCCACTAATCTCTGTATATGTGTTGATGCCAATACCTACTGGCATAATAGCTTTGTAATATACTTTGAAATCAGGACACAAACCCTCCAGCTTTGTTCTTCTTTCTCAAGATTACTTTGAATATTCAAGATCATTTTTAGTTACATGTAAACCTTAGGATTGTTTGTGCTATTTCTGTGAAAAATGTCATTGGAATTTTAGTAGGAATTGCAGTGAGTCTGTAGATTGCTTTGGATAGTACGAACACTTTAATAATACTAGTTTTTCCAATTCACGAGCATGGAATATCTTCCCACTTGTTTGTCTTCTTTAATTTCTTTCTTCAATGTCATAATTTTCAATGAACAGGTTAAATTTATTCCTGGGTATTTTATTTTTCTTGATACAGTTTAAATGAGAGTGTTTTCTTAATTTCTCTTTCTGATTGTAATTACCTTATAGAAATGCAACTGATTTTTGTATTTTGATTTTTTATCCTGAAGCTTTACTGGATTCAGTTATTGCTTCTAACAGTTGTTTTGGTAGAGTCTTCGGGGTTTTCTGTATATAATATCAGGTCATCTTCAAATAGTGATAATTTTGCTTCTTTTCTGATTTGGATGCCTTCATTTTTTCTTGCCTAATTGCTCTGTTTAGGACTTCCAATACTATGTTGAATAAAAAGTGGCAAGAGTGGGCATCCATCTTCTTCCTGA